CCACAAACAAATGATACTCCCAAGTATTTTGAACATAGTACATTACATATTAATTGCTTGTAGGCTTTTGTTTGAGTTCCTCAAGGACAGAGATGGCATTTTTGTATATTGTTGAGAGCCACAGCCGAATGGGCCCCAGCAAACTTCCAGCTGCCGGCTGATGATTGGCTCACAGCGGCCCCAGCAACATCTAGCTGATTGGCTCCTCGGCCCCAGCAACATCTAGCTGATTGGCTCCTCTGCGGTGATGCTCATTGGGCTGTTTCCCTGCCCTTTCAGACCACGGAGCTGCTCATTGGGGGACTTTTTTGGCTCCGCCCACGTGACCCAGCCAATCGGCCTCAAGAGCAGGAGGATTGTGGGAGGTGGAGAGAAGCTTGTGTGGGAGAGAGAGGCTTGTGGAAAGCTGGTGGTGGCAGTTGAGGCTCTGAGGGTTTTTCCTGAGAGGCTGTTTTGTTTGGCGTGTGTGGTTCTAAAAATAGAGTTAGTTTCTTTTGACAAGTGGCTCCTGATTGTGCCCAGCCAGACTGCGGCAGTATATCTTTATGTACATCTCAGATCAGTGCCTGGGAACAGAACAGATGTAGACTAAATGTTGACTGAATAAAGCTATGACCATTCAAGAAGCCTATGCATCTATTTTTCATTGGAAGACATAGCAAGCACATCACAAGAATTGAAAATTTATCATATGCCCTGATGATTCTCCTTCACTTGTGAAGCATCAGTAATAATTGCCTTGTGTTATGGAAATGTATTTGCTGAAGAATTCTGTGTCATGGATGACAGCTAGAAATTATAATGCTGAGAAAAATTACAAAAGGGCAATGTCACTTCCTTATAGTAAGTTCCTTCTTTTTTCTTCTCAAGTTTAGCCACTGATATGTGTTTAGATGTTTGTATCATACTAATTTAGGTTTTTGAGAACTATTATTTATAATTTTATGTTGTCCCTAAAGCTCAGCTATGCTTGACAAGTTTAAAAACCCATATATATGAAATAGGATGTAATACTTCTAAACAACAGAGAATATAGATGCTCCATGTACAAGTTAGACCACATTGCAGGACTTATAAAAAAAAAAGTAGCTTGTAGAATACTGGTTTTTTAATTCTGAACTGACTGACAATTTCTGACTTTTGCAGAGTTCTAGAGGCTAGGGAGTAGAAGAAAATTGAAAGGATACTTTTGAAGCCACTGGTATGCTATGAGTCCCCTTTCCCTCCAAAGAAGGAAGGGTTGGTGCTATTAAAATTATATCAGTAGTAAAAAAAAGTGATGTTCTATAAATATAGAATATAAATGTGCTACAATTTATTTCATTCATTAAGGAATGATTTGTTGTCTGAGTGGAAAGCTAGTTCAAGGAAAATTTGGTTAGTTGACTATATTTAGGCTTTGAGAAAAAAATATTGGCATAAGATATCTAGATGAAATGCAAAATTGGTTAATGTTGAAGTTTTATTACCTATCACTTTTTAATTGTTTTATTTAAAAGACATATTTTTATGCCTAGGTACAAAGTATATGAAAGGCAACTTAAAATCTAAAATAAACATATAACTTTATAAAATCAAAGCTTTAAATGATAATAAAACAAAGAAACATTTTGTTAGAGACTAACAGTTACCTTACAGTGATCCAGTATGGTATTGAAAAGACAAACAGTTGTTCATTAATCTTATTTGCAAGCTTTTGATAATGTTTGTTGGCAATTCTTGACCCTCTTTTCAAATATGTGCATCAATGGGTCCCTGTAGCTCGGGCCAAAGGGAGCTGTTGTTTGAGTGGTCAGAAGTGTGAGTGGTCAGAAGTGTGTGTCAGGCTGGCTGGCTGGCTGATAGGGTATGAGCCAAATAGAGATGACCATGTTGGCTGTCCTACAATCCCACAGCATAGAAAGGCAAAGCATGCAAGAGGATTTTTGAAGGTCAGACATAGAACATGTAAGAATGTGAGAAAGTGGGCAATTATAAATTCTGCCTAGGGGAACCACTGAAACTTCATTCAGAGGAGCGAGAAAAAAATCAGGTGATACCTGGGACCTCAGTAGGTAAAGGTCAGAGAAGAAAGTATTATCTGCATCTAAAGGAAGGCAGGGGAGAAGGTTCCAGTCGGTAGGGGAGGGCTGGTGTCTGGAGAATGAACTGCTTTGAGCACCTGCCAGCCAGAATAGGACTTTTATGACTTATTCCTTGTCCTGTTCTGTGATTATAATGTAGCAATTAATAAAACTGAAGCACCAATGGATAATGAAAAACAGAAACACAAACCTTTCTTAACAGTTTCCTGATTTGAGGCTTCCTTGAACTCTGTAGTCCCACCACTGTAAAAGGCAAAAATCTAATGCTAAATCATACAGAGTTTTGACAATTATGTGGGAGGACGATTTTTATTATTCACATAAAAGCTTTTATTACCTGTGACTGACCAGAAAAATCCTAGGGTCTGCCATAATTTTCCTCCAGGCTGTACTTCTACCAAGTACAAAAAAAAATTACTTAATGAATTGGGCTTATTCAATGGAAGTGTGTGTGTGTGTGTGTGTGTGTGTGTGTGTGTGAGCTAGAGAGAGGATGTTTTTAAGCATGACCTTGCAGCTGTCTTTCAAACTCAATAAGTCTGTGCTTTAATTTCTGCATTATGGGTAATTTTTTCTCTTTAAATTGAATATTCCTAGCTCAGAAAACTTGTGTTCAAATCTTGTCTTCACAGTGGCACAGTGAAGCGTGCTTTTTTGCAAAAACCCTCAGGAATACTGTGCTCCTGATATAGATGTGGTAAACTATTTGCAGAATTGCTGGTGTGTCAGTTAAATGCATTCTGCTTCAGTGGAGAGAGTATCATCTCTCTAGAGGTGTCATTGTTTTTACATGTTTCATTTCATTTTGTCACTAATCATAGTTCTGAAAGACAAGTACTTTATATTTTGTATTTTACTGTGTGACTTGGCATGGATTATATCTTGGCTTTGCTTTTGTCTTTCCTACTTGTACATAAGCTATTTTTCTAAACATAAGCAAGATAATGTTATTTTGATGCTTTCAAAAATATCAGAATATCTCACATATTAATTTTTAGGAATTTAATACTATTATGCCAGTAAATGCATTGTAAGGATGTTTTTTTTTTGTTGTTGTTGTTGAAGTAAAACTGAGTCCTATATAGATGTGATAAGAAGCTTGATGCAGAATACTGCTTTACATTGGGCCAGAATTGAAGTTAGTTTATTGTTCCCTTTCTCTGGAATGTTCTTTGTCATGATTGCCCTTGTCTTCTTCTTTCAGAGACTTCTCTGACCATCTAATCTAACATAGAACTCTTAATTATTTTCTATTTCTTTATTATGCTTTTTCTTTATAATACTCGATACATACTTGTATTTGTTTATTGCCTTAAAGGACTTTATTTTCTTTATTGCATCATTTTTCAGACCTAGATGAATGGACTTTCAATACTTGTTGGATAAATAAATGAATCCTGAACACATCATTCCTGGTAATTTGATGATTATACCTGTCTAAGAAACATAGCCAGAACAAGAAAAGTAACAGTATTAAACATCCCCTTGAAATTTTTCACTGTAGTAGCATTAAGGGAAGGATTTGGTGAAGTCATACCATAAGCACATGAGAGTAACCCTTATAGTACACCACCACCACCATTTCTTACAGTTTAAGGGCATGGCTTATACCTAAAGACAGTGTCCTTGTGTTATTCACCATTTTGTCCATTACTGTGTGTGGAGTAAACTTTCAACCATGAGACTGGCCTTTAGGGTTCACTTAGGCCATGCAGGAGGCAAGTGTAGCATGACCAGGACTCTTATTCAAATCTGCCTGACATCAAAACCTGAATATCCCCCCCAAACCCATTGTCTTCTCTTATTCATGGTGGTTATACTTTTACACATTTGAGTCTACCAAAAGAAAACATTGAATGTTTTCTTAAATGGACATCTGCAGGCACACTAATGTGGGAAGTAAGGGTGCAAAGCTTAGTGTGTTAACTATAATAGTTAAGATTACTAGTTCAGTACTGATATGAATGCAATATGGTTATTATAATTTAGGGAGTGACTGCAGAACCAACCACAGATGCCTACGGTATATAAAAACAGAAATATAAAAAACCCAACAGCATATTTAAGAAGCTGAAAAATGAAATTAAATTCCCTATAGAGGCTCTGTTCATGGGTTGAATATGTGTGTGCAGCTCATAAGTATTTGTTTTTGGTGGTTGTTATTTTGTTTCATGCACACATACATTTTATATTCACACATCTTCATGGGTCATATATAAAGAAAAAGAAAGTTCTGGACTTGCCCAAAGTCCTAGATTCTTATCCTAAGTTTGTCTTTTGTACGTTTTGATGAGCAAGAAAACAAAGGATATATGTGTAAGATCTGAGGCAGAACTACTTGGGTAGATTCTTGGGTTTGCTATTTGCTAGCTTTTGCAATTGGGGGTTTAGTAACATTTTCGGTGCCGCAGTTTTCTGTTTTTTGGCACCAGGGATTGAACCCAGGGGGGCTTAACCACTTAGCCACACCTCCATCCCATTTTAATATTTTATTTAGAGACAGAGTCTCACTGAGTTGCTTTAGAACATCGCTAAGTTGCTGAGGCTGGCTTTGAACTCGCGATTCTCTTACCTCAGCCTCCAGAGCCTCTGGGATTACAGGAGTGTGGCACCACACCTCACGCAGTGCCTCAGTTTTCTTAAATATCCATTAGGTTGTTGTGGTGATGAAGCAAATATTACATCTAAAGCTCTTAGACTAGCGCTTGCAATGATGAGGGCTGAATGTTACATCCCTCATTTCCAAGACCTCTTCTGCTGGAAAGCCTCCTCGATCTGTTACATTTCCTTACCCTCTTTTTACAGTGACCGCCCTTTTGTCTCAAAATCCACGGGGCTCTTTTGCTCCCTCTGCCGGCGGACAGCGGCAGGACCAAACGTTCTGGTTGCTATGGGTACCGAGGTACGCGGTAACCAAGGAGACCAAGGCGGAAACTCTGGACAGCTTTGGCTCGCTGCGGAGGAAGCGGCTGGGGTCTCCCAGGGAGTTGGCAGGCTGCGGATGGAGGTGGGAGACTGGAGTCTTGGGGTCGACTTGGCGGGGTTGTGAGCGGATCTGGGTGGTGCTGGGAGTCGGGAGGCAAGACTGAAAAGGAGATTCTTTGAGGGGTGGAGCTGGGGGGCGTCGTCCTAGCAGGTGTTTGTTAAGCCCTCTCGTGTGCCCACACAGTATCAAGCCTGGGAGCAGCAAGACAGAGCGCTGGCCCAGAAGTTCAACATCTTGTGCTTTAGTAAACAAAAGACTTAGCCCATAATGCTAATGTATGAAGGGGAACCCTAGATGGAGGAATCAGGGCCTTTATCAATTGTACTATCTACTACTTTTTTTTTTTTTAAGTGCTAGCCCTCCTTTGAAGTAATTTGTGCACTGTGAAAATTTTGGTTTCGGGAGAAAACATCACTTTATCTTTTGTAGCTTTTTTTCTGCCTTCCTGGCTACATGCACCTACTTCACCCTTGAAGTCCACTCCTCTCAAGTAAAGGTTATGGTAGGGTGTAAATGACCCTGAGGAATTGGACACTCTGGAAGTCCCCCCCCCCATAAGCATTAAAAGCACTGAGGTATATAGGTTGTGTGTATGTGTATGGCATATTCTCAATATGCACATACATATATGTAAGTGTGTGTATATATGTATGGCTTGCCTTCAACATATATAGAAATATGTAGAATATATGTGTGTGTATACATGTGGCTTGCCTATTAAATTTAGTAAATCTCATTTTAAAAATTCTTAAAGCTGAAAATACTGTACAAGATATATGCCTAGGGTAATCTAACAACTCCCTCCACCTCTTTGAATATTTAATCTTATAGGATACTTAGAGGCTTGTACTGACCTCCCATTACATTGCCAGCTGTATTGCAAATAAATTATCTGAAAGTAACTGCTTTGTTTACTTGCTTCAGGACACTTAATACTTCATGCAATTAATTTACTTGCTTTTTCATTTTTTCCCATTTCTCTCACCAGAGTATAAATTCAGTGAGAACTGGTTCACCATGTTCATTGGTACTTAACTTGATACAAGACACAGTTTTAAATTTATATTTATCAATTGCTCATTGAGGTCTGGTAGGAGACATGGGGAAAATAAACCCATTATTTTGGGAAGAAAGGTATGTTTGTTTAAATTTTTTCTCATTAGGTAGACTGTAATTTTTCAAAAAGAAAAATACATAAAACTTAGCACATTGTCAACATTGCACTGTGTGGAGACACTGTACTAATTGCTGGGGATTCAAAGATCAATGAAGGACTGCTCTCAAATATTTGGGCTACTTAGGGAAACAACATTTATATGACCAATGATGCAGAAAAATAAACCCAGGCAGCATATAATAGCAAAGTAACTTAATACATATGATGTCATTACAGAAAGGGAAGCTCTTTTTTGGAGGAAATCTTCCTTAGAAAGGTGACCTTTGAACTGTGTGTTGTATAGAATAAAATTTGGTGAGCAAAAAAGTGGAACATAAATCAGAAGACTTTGGAATATTGGGATGCCTATGAAATAGCTTAAGTGCTAAGCAGAGTAGCTGGCAATTATTTTTTCTATGTGTATAGGCAATGATTTAGAGACAAAAAAATTAGCCACTTCATATTACTTGGGAGCAATTTGATACCCAAAAGGTTTTAAATGGTGTTTAGAGATATTGCTATAAAATTTGGAAAATACTTAATATAAAATGGTTTCTTTTTCTAAATTTCCTATTTATGTATGACAGGTGGAAAGTGTAAAAGAGGGAAGGATGTTTGCCAACAAATCTCCTAAATGATATGGATTAATCATTTTGAGTGTGTAAAAAACCATATTTAGATTTTAAGCCTTTAGAGGAGCCAAGAGGATTGGGAAGAATATAGCAAATTTTGTTTTTTCCCCAGTCTTAGATGCTTTCATTTTCAGATGCCTAAAATTTCGTGAAGAGATACCCAGGGTAATAGTGGATTGTAAGAGAATGAGTAGTATAGATAACATATTAACCTAAACAGGTTTCTGAGAGGTGTGAATTTAAATACATTACTTTCATTGTTGTGTATAATAATATGAAATTTTTAGTTGGTGTGGAATTAGTAAAATTGTACTTTTTAAAAACTATTTTGCCACTCACACGTTTTTAAGATAACTATTGACAAGTCTTGCTAGTCTAACTATGAAATGGAGAATACTGCGTGAATATGTGTGAGCAGAGATCATTCTTATACAAAGGTGTTCTTAAATCTGGTGGACTTTGGGCATCATTTAAGGTCTTCTGACCTTAAACACCCAATCTTTGAATTATCACATCATTTTTAATTTGAAAGTATTTTAAAATAGCATCTCACCTCTTGAAATCTAATTCTTTCTCAGTTGTTCTAGAAGAAACCATCATATAGAGGGTGCATGATTAGTGCCCTGAAATAGTGTTTCATTATCAGGTATCTTGGTTGGCTGAAAGATTGAAAGAAGTTTTAAGTCAATATTACCTTACTTACTTCAGTGCCTGTGCTTGGAGAACATGGCGTATATTTATTTAGCATGTCACGGAAGCACAAGATGTTATGCTAGAGATCATGTATTATCAATATGTTCCTTAAATTATTAAAAGGGTTTAGAAATATATACATGTATAGTTAGAAAGAAGTTACTATTGGATGGAGTGTTAGAGAGTAACATTCTCTTAATAGTTTAAATTAAGCTTTTTAAATTAAATTAATTTTCATTTGATATTTCTTGCTTATATCTCTGATTTCCAAATACTGTGGTAGTAAGTGGCCTAAACATGTTAATCCATCCAAAGGTGTTTGTTGATTAGATACTTTAAAAATATGCCCTGAAATACTTATGGTTTAAGTTTTGTGGCCTAAAATGATCCGAGTTAGAAAAATCTACCAATATAAGGTAAGTTTTTGGTTGTAAAAAGTGGCTCTAAACTTTCTATTCTTCCAGTGGTGTGATGGTAAGTCCTCTGGGACCTGCAGCACCTCTTGCTGAATGCTCTGAGCTTTGAGCTGTACAGATCACCAGAAATGCCTTTTTCTGTGGAGCAGGCCTTGATGCTTGGGTTGCTCCCCAAATGGGAACATGTGTAGAAGGATCATCAAACCATAATGGACAATTTTGGGTCATATTGGATCTATATATGTGGGCAGAAATGGAATTGGGGACAGAAAAATGATGCCATCTAATAAATTAGTTAACCAGAAAAATCTCCAAATCCTACTAACCTTTGCTATTCAATTGTTAGAAAAGGAGAGAGGGGTGGGGAGAGGGAGTGAGACGTGGTGAGGTTTGCATAGCAGAATCCACCTATTTCCCTGGCTTCAATGGATGACCAAAGTTTTGTGGTTTGCTCTTCATGCTGCTGACATTGTTATAGCCTTGCTGTCCCAAGAAAGGGGATTGATTCTCTGTTGGTTTTTACCAAAGGAAACAGGCAGAACAGCATGACTCACAATTATAACTGTCCTTCTTTTCTTCATACAAGAAAATTGGCTTATTCAAGTGACTTGATAAAACATTTAATTGAGAAGAAGCCTTACTAATTGCATTCAGTGAAATGAAAATGCCCCCTGAAGAAGATCATTTATTGGTTAAATTACATTATCAGTGTGGGCTTACTCAGTCCAGCCGAAGCCCATAGAACAGCTGAGGAAATTGTGGCGACAGAGTCGAAAAGAGACCTCTGGAGACCAGTTTCAGAGAACTTGATCCACTTGATTACTGCATAGGCAAGCCTTTTATGCATAGTCTATTACTGGGCCAATTAGCTGAGGACTGTAATAATCCAATGAGCTAGCAACACCCTTAAAACTGGCAACCAATGGTTGAAAAGGTCAGCAGCAAAAAGCAGAAGGAAGGGAACATGCTGTGTACCTGAAGGTGGCCAGGTTACCATGGTGATGGGGCTGGGCATAGTCAGTGTGCCAAACCACAAATGTCCAGACCTGGTGAGCCCCTCACAAATGCAATATAGGCTACTTTCTAGCTCATAGGCCCAACATATCAGCAGAGTTTTGAGTCTGAATCATCTCATTCTAATGAGATTTACAGACATTCTTTCATTCTCTGGGTAAACTCAATCATTGGGTATCAGTTTGGCTTGATGCTTAGATATACACATATAACATATAAAATTGAATTGTGTGTTCAATGTGTAAATAAAGTTAGGGCAATTTAAGTTACTTTAATATGACAGGTTAACTGTGAGGATTCTTTTGTTTCATCTTTTTTATGCTAATGATAATATGAGATTTGTGTGTGTGTGTGTGTGTGTGTGTGTGAAATTGTCAACTTTAGACAAGAGTCCAGTGCTGGATTTCCTGATTAGGATCAGAAAGGTATAGAGATTCATGTTATTGAGCAGGATCATTCCTGTAGACTTTTTTTTTTTTTTAAATGATACCTTTTGGGCTGGGGATGTGGCTCAAGCGGTAGCGTGCTCGCCTGGCATGCGTGCGGCTTGGGTTTGATCCTCAGCACCACATACAAAAACAAAGATGTGTTTGCCGAAAAAACTAAAAAAAATAAATATTAAAAAATTCTTTCTGTCTCTCTCTCACACACACTCTCTCTTTACAAAAATAAATGATACCTTTTGTAGCCTTTGTTCAGTGAAAATATACAAAGATATTTCCTACAAACATGATTCCTAAAGGTGAGAGAGTAGAAGAAAGTTCCATTTGAAAATATTGTCACCCTGCTACCAAAAGCCATATAAATCATAATTTTCCTGTAGTGTCTTTGGTTCTTTTTGCCATTTATTTTAGCTTTGAGAGACAAGACATGGTGGCTGAAAAGTTGAGTCTGATTCAGGCGAGTTTCCTAGATGTACCACAATGTTAAAATTGTGTGTGTGGCTTTCCCCTTGATTGTGAGTTCCTTGAGGGAAGACACCATGTTTTATTTGCCAATTTAGCTTCACTACCTTAAGGGAGTCATGAAGGAAGAGCTAAATAAATAATTGGTGATCAAATAATCAAATATGATTCAAACTGTAATACAAACACTATTGTTTAAAATATAAAATCATTTTGTGTAATTTAGTTGTGGAATTATCTTTATAGAATATTTTTTTTTCAGAAATTTCTCCAAGGAGGCAAAAATCTACCTGTTTAGATTTGATTTTTGTAGTCCAAATAATTTGTAGCTGTATTTAAATGAAAAAAAGTAGTTGCTTCTGCTACACAATCATTTTTATTTTTATTCTTACTTAATTTTCCTTGTCAGCATTATATTTAAATTGATATGTAATATTTGTACATATTTAGAGGGTACAATATGATCACTTGACACATGTATACAATGCAGGGTAATTAGCATTTCTGCCTCCTCAAATGCTTACCATTTCTATGTGTTGCAAACCTTCAGACTCTTCTAGTTATTTTGAAATTTAATTGTTTTAGACTATGGTTATCCTACTGTGCTAGAGAATACTAAATCTAATTCCTCCTATCTATCTGTTTTGCTATCTTTCTCCTTTCTTCTTCCTTTTCCCCTTCCTAGTCTCTAGTGGCCACTATTCTACTCATTTCTTCTACGAGATCAAAATTTTTTAGCTATTACCAATGGGTGAGAACATGTGGGATTTGCCTTTCTGTGCCTGGCTTGTTTCACTTACCATAGTATTGTTCAGTTCTATCCACATTCCCACAAATGCTACAATTTATTCTTCTATGACTAATATTCTATTGTACATTCCATATATACATAATTTTTAATTATACATTCATCAGTCAATGGATAACCTGGTTGATTACTTGTCTTGGCTATTGTGAATTGCATTGCCAAAAATATGGGAGTGCAGGTATCTTTTTAATGTGATAAATAATGTGATAATTTTATATCTTTTGATTATATACCCAGTAGTGGACTTTTTGGATCCTATGATAGTTCTATTATTAGGCTTTTGAGGAACCTTTGTACTGTTATCATACCAACCATATAGAGAAGTTCCTCTTTCTCTGCATCTTTGCCAGCATTAGGTATATTTTGGATTGTTGATTACAGCCATTCTAAATGGGGTGAGAGGATATCACATTGTGGCTTTGATTTGTATTTCCCTGATGATTAGTTATATTTAATATTATTTATGTTAACATGTATAATTCTATATTTCTATGGAATATTATGTAATATTTTGATACATTTATATATTATATAATGTTCTAATCAGGGAAAACATATCTATCTACTCAACATTTACAATTTCTTTTTTCTATGGGGGTGGTACTGGGGATTGAACTGAGAGGTACTCAACCACAGAGCCATATCCCCAGCCCTATTTTGTATTTTACCTAGAGTCAGGGTCTCACTGAGTTGCTTAGAGCCTTGCTTTTGCTGAGGCTGGCTTTGAATTCTTGATCCTCCTCCTCAGCCTCCTGAGCCACTGGAATACAGGTGTGTGCCATGGCTCCTGGCCACTTACAATTTCTTTGTGTTGTAAACATTCAAAGTTCTCTAGATTTTTTCAAAATATACTATTATCTAGAATCATTGGATATTTCAATAGAGCAATGGAACTTATTTCTCCTTGGTACTCATTGATTAACCTTTCTTCATTCCTCTGTCTGCCTTCCCAGCCACTGATAACCACTTGACTCCAAAATGAGTATTTTTTCATATACATGTTGGCAATTTGTATGGCTTCCTGTGAAAAATGCATGTTAAAATCATTTGCCCATTTTTAAAATCAGATTGTTTATTTTTTTGTGGTTGAGTTGTTAATTTCCTTATATATTATGAATATTAGTCCCTTCTTGGAGGCAAATTTCACAAGTATTTTATCAAATTTTTTGGTTTCAATGAAGACAACAGAATGGATTTCATGTTTGCTCTGTGTATAATAGATTCTGCAGAGAGTTTTAGGAGGCATTCCAAAAGTGTTTTGATCAGTTGTTGTACCATTGAAATTGTGAGGTATGCTTCCAAAAGAAAAGAAAAAAAATTGAAAAACTAATCATTTTATTGTATAGACTTCCATTGGTTGTTCAAATTTTGGTCTTGTCTTTCATATTTCTTGCAGCAGTTTCTAGACATATCTTCTGGTTTTTCCTCTAAAAATAGTCACTGATTCTTATTAATTTCAACATAAATTCCAAAAGATTGAACTTGACATTTTTAAAGTCACCAATTACTGAGCCTCAGCCTCTTCGTAAGCCTATATTTACTTTTACCCTCCATGTACCTTGTACATCAACTAAATTAAACTAGTCATTAGTCTCCTCTTAGTAGCTATTTTCCCCTCAATATGGAATATTTATCTAATCCATATTATCACCTATAAGAACCTTTTCTTTCAAGTTTTGTAGAGATGCTAACCAGCTTGAATTCTCTTCCTCTTACTTATTATATCATTACATCTATAAATTTTAAGGCCTTTATAATTTCTATCCTGTTTTATGGCTTTTTTACACAAGTATCATACGTCCTATTTGACTCTAAGCCGTTTAAGCCCAGAAAACAAATCTCCTTGGTTCTTGACTTCTCCGTGCCTTTTAGAATGGAGCCTTACATTATAACAGCCTTAATAAACATTTTTTTAGGGTTCTGAACACATAGGAACTTATATTTAAACTGACAACATCACAGGATTTGGGCACTTAAGATTATGACCACTGTGATATTTCTTTAAAAGCTTTTGGAATGTAGAAATGTATTTATATAAAATGTAATAGTTGTGCATGTGATACTGTAATTTGCAATACAGAGTAAATTACTATAGAAGCATGAATAATTGGGAACTCAGGGTGTTCTGAATAATTTAATTTTCTGGTTAGCTCAGAGTTAAGCAGAAAATCCTTTTTATTTCATTTCTTCTTGAAAAATTCTTTTTGAAATATGCTAATTTCAGATCTTAGCCAAAGAGCATCATTAAAATTTTCTTTGATAAATGAGGATACTAGAATGCCTTTGGGTAATTATTACATACCTTAATTTTTCATTTTACATTGCTATATAAGTAAAAAAAACAGGTTTTTTTTTTGCTTTGGATTGTATCTTAAAAGTTCTTTTCACTTTACATTATACAGAAGCTCTTTGCGTATTATTTTTGAATGGGAACAAATATCTCCTATACATTCATGTGTTGTGTAACAGTGGGGATATGTCTTCGGTAATAGCACATTAGGTGATTTTGTCATGTGGAAACATAATAGAGTGTACTTAGAGTAAGATGACTATGATGCAAATAGGTAATATAAAATTAAGGGACTATCTTATATATGTGGTCTATCATTGACTGAAATGTTATGAGGCACATGACAGTAGATACTTTCACCCTTTATTCATAGAAGGATCCAGGATATGTGCTTTAGCTTAATTTTTAGTTGAATATTTCCCATCTTTTGTTATATATAAATATTGATGAAATATCAGTTTCATTAGATGTGCAATATACTTATATAATGTGTAATATATTTAACCTATGATAATTTTTTCTGTTAACCCTTTTTAGCCTTTTTCCTCACAATTATTTCTGTTTTTAAAGTTTTCCTTAATTATATGTAGTTTTGAATTTGTAGTTTATACTGCTTTTCCTCTGGCATAATTCTTTTGTCTTTTTTTATTTTTCAGAAGTTTTCACAACTAGAATAATTTAAAATAATAATCATGAACACCAAAGATTTTGTAGTTATTCCATGGGGAAAGCCTGGAAATTCTGTAAAGCTAAAATACAAGTAAGTACATATATATTTATTTCTTAGATAGAAATAGTTGTTAGTTTTTTGTGTATTTTAATTTAAACTCAAATTTTGTTTTTATCTACAGAGAATAGGTTTTAACTATTATAAATCTATAATAGTTTTAAAAACGCAGACTGTGTATTCCACAAGAATCAAAGTGAAAGGTATAAATAAAGTTTGGGCTCATTAGCCATTGAAGCATTTAACAGAAAATTTAAAAAAATTGTAACCCTTATTTAAAAGTTAAAAACAATCATTATGAAATAGAAGGAGAAACTTCAAATAGGAGACTATTAATATTGGAGACTTTAAACAGAGAACAGAAAGCACTTGTCTTAGCTCTCTAAATGATTTTTGGTTGACTGCATCTTCCCAGAAAGAGTACTGTCTGTCCAAGATTGACATGCATATGCCTATAGCAAGAGCCACACAATTCTAGGTATCTTGGGAATTTCAGGACATTTTAGGGGTATAGGAAGGATCAACACATTAGTTCCCTTTGAGGTCCCTAGAGTTACTGGAAATCTTCAGGGACTTCCTCTCAAATATCACTTAGAGCCAATTAGCCTGACCTGGAGACAGAATGCCAATTTTTAATCTTGATTTCTGAGTCCTCTGATTCAGATTAATTGTTCTGTGGTTATTCCATGTCTTTAGAGTTTTCATAATGTTCTCTTCATATTTAAGATACTGGTTGTAAAAGCATTGTGGAAAGTGATACACAAATATATGGCATTATCATTATTATATATTACCTTCTTTGTTGGTGACGGGGGCCATCTAATTACTAGTTCTCCTTTTTTTAAAAAAAAATATTTTAGTGATATGTTTCAATTCTATGTGTCCATATCTGTAAATATTCATAAAACTGATATTTATTAAGTACATGTTATACACACTGTACTGCATAGTTAATATAAAAAGAAGTCAGTCTTTGCCCTCAAATAGAGTGCAGAGGATACAAAGAAGTAAAATTACATTGACAATATAGTATGAAGCATAGTATGCTAAATAAACACTGAGAGAACATGGGCCTAGATTCTGGGGCAAGGAGATATCAGACTTTTGTCTGAGAGATGTGGCTTGTTGGGTAGCTATTTGATGAAATTTGTAGAGGTACATATACTATATAGTTTTGGGACTTTTCAGACATATTAGATTGGCTGAGGTTTATAGACAATCCAAGTCGGAGTGAAGGTCAAGATCTAGATAATGACTAACTTGTAAGCCAAAATGAGGAGATTTTTCTCTCCACTACCCTACTCCATCAGATTAGCATAACCTTTCTACTATCTGGATTACTGAAATAGCCTCTTAACTGGCTATTTTGCTTCTGGCCTTGCTCCTTCTTTTTTTTTTAAATTTAATTTGAAATTCTTATATTTATTTTTTTAATGTAAATTTTTAAAATTTACATAAGACAACAGAATGCATTACAATTATTGTTACATATATAGACACAATTTTTCATATCTCTGGTTGTATACATAGTATATTCACACCAATTTGGCACCTTCTAACTGATAGTCCATGATATAGTCAGAGTGATCTTTCTAAATAAATGCAAGTCTGATCAGCTCTATTAAGATCCCTTAATGATCCTCATTGTATCTATAATACAAATCCCAATTCCTCTTTGCTTACAAGGTACTTTATTATCTGAACACTTTTCATTTCAGCAGGTCCATTTCTTGCCACTTTTCTAAGCCTATACTTAATTCCTGGTCAGAAGGAACTTTTAGTTCCTTGACTTACATATTACCTATATTTGTACTCTACCTTCTTCCTGGACCACTGCTCTTACTCCCTTCCTTTAACTGGCTCAGTTCTTTCTTCCTTTATGTCTCAGCTTACACCAGGAAGTGTTTCTGCTGTCCAGGGCTGGGCACATGACCTTTCTGTGTGCTTAGGCAACCCACTGTTCTTTCCTGATGAGAGCACCATCACACTATATCACAATAACTCATACTTGGCTGGATTCTCTTCCATTCAGGAAACTTCATCATGTCTTATCTCCTTTCACCTATCTCAGTGCTTGTGTTTAGTAGAAGCTGAATATCTCCTTCTGAAATAGATATAATGAAAACAAAGACTTTACCTCTATATTGGCCAGTTTCTCTTAACTCTCTGGACAGACTATTCCTCCCATCATTTTTCAGATATCTCCCTGGATTGTGTCAACTTGGGGAAATGCAGTTGACACACTTGTTCTTTGGTGATGGCTTACCACCTTTATAAATGAGTTCCTTTCTCTGATTTCCATTATTTTTTGCTTTGGTTCCATGCTATAATGTGCATGTTTGCCCTCACCACTTGAATTGAGAACACAAATGTAATTATGAAGGGATTTAAATTCATGATAGATAATAAAAGCTAGAGAATTAGGTTGGCTTCTTATCTGTAAAAGAGAGTCAATGACTACTGCTGATAGGGATCTAAAATTGGGAAGTGAGGAAAATGACTTATATTGAAAGCTTGATGAGCTTCAAGTAGTATTATTAAAATTTCTTGCATGACAATATCCTGTTCAAAACCTTAATAGAGGCTTCTTCTTAAGAAGTCCCAAATCTACTCTGCTGTTATTCTCCTAAACATGATGTAAAGGTAGAAATTTATCTAAGTTTCCAATCTGTCAGTTCAGCACAAGTGTATATTTTCCCTAGGTGGAATAAATAACAGTTTTAACCTACTTGAATTCAACTAGAAGAAAGTGAGCATGGAAATTAGAAAATACTTTTCTGTTAATGTGCAATAGATATTTGAATATATAAAGCCATGATTCATACATAAAGTGAATCATGATTTTAAATTTCTAGCAATGTAATAGAAAAAGCAAAGTGTTAAAGAGATACCTTGTTTAAGGAGAATATTAATGAATGTCAAATGCTAACTTTATAAAGATCATGTTTCAAGAAGTCTAAAGGAATTAGTTGAATTATTTCATCCTTTTTAACTATTAAACCTCTTAACTTAAGAGCAAAAGATCATATGAAATTATTTTGTCTGGAGTTTTACTTATTTACTTCAATTGAATATTCTATATATAAATCTCATATTTTCAGAAATGTTCAAGAACTTCGAATGGAGAAAGTACAGTTAGAATTGGAGAACCAAGAAATGGAAAAGAAATTACAAGAATTCCAATCAACAAGGAAAAAAGAAGAGACAAAGTGGGTGAAAATTTTAGAGAATTTTAGAGGATTAAACTCAGTTATGTAAAGAACTATTTTACAGTGTTATGCTCTAATAAAAATGTTTAGTGGATGGATATTTTCTGATTTTTCCTCATAAGGAATATTAAATTCCCTCTACTTTTTGTTTCTGTGCAATTTATATGAGGAACATCGCTTTTTGAATTACCATGATTTTGTTTCTTCTGAACTTCATTTGGTCTTATCCTTTCATATTTCCCTTTGGATATCACACTCCTCAGTAACTTTTGGTCTGAAATGGTTAGGGCAGCAATGGAAACTTTGACCTTTGCTCTCAGAAGATTGGTATTAACAATCCATGAAGATCAGTTTATTTTTAAGGCCATGTTTATTTATGAAAAAAATGGGGGGGCAGGAGTTTGCATGAGCATCTGTTAGAATCATTTAAACCCACAGGTATGTCTTAAATGTCTTCAGCCAATTCTAGTAAGCTGATAGTTTATTAATAAGAACTCTCTAATATAGTGTTTATATGTATGTATTACTTTAACTGAGACTATTATTTCATTGTAAAAATAATAAATAAAGATGATAAGGGTCAGAGCTGATAGCTGTGTGATGGAAACAATTTTCTTAGCTTGAGGCTGAATCCCTGTGCATTTTTCTCATACCAATTTAATGATTAAAAAATTTTCCCCAAAATTATTTTCTTTGTACTTACACAAGTGGATTGACTTTCCAGTATTATGTGATCATAAGTGCTGCTGTAGATATATTTCAATATATATTTTTCTTACATGCAAGGGCATCTATGGGATAAATTCCTATCCCTGTCATTTGAGCTCAGTGTAGACAGGTGCTGAGAGATTGTTTTCAAAATACTCTTCAACAATTTATAACCATCTTCTAAAGAATATGAGGGTTTATATTTCCTGTGTCTTTGCTGTTATGAAATATTATCAAACATTTTATACATTAAATTTACTTTTGCTTGGTCATCAAACTGATGACCATTGAATGCGTACAATGTACCTTCTGAAAGTATTGTTTTTAGAGTCCACCTCTGAGCTGCACTCATGACACACATACATGCTGTAAAAACCAAAGCATTGGTCAAATCCAGGCATCACATACTGTCTGTCATCCAGATGACAGTGTTTATTATGTGTTTCACTATTTCCTCTTTATGATCATTTTTAACCTCCATAAATTTCTACTTAATTTGGACTTCTTAATGGATCATGGTATTCATCTGGGAATTGGAATCCCTGGAATCAGTCTCCAAGAATGAGTTTTTCTTAGCTGTGGAAACTTTTTTGGATGATTTTTTAAAAAGGTTCTAAAGCTTGACTCAGGTTTTAGAATGCGTACACTCTTTTTCTTTTTTAAAGAGAGAGAGAGAGAGAGAGAGAGAATGAGAATGAATCTTTTTTTTTTTTTTTTTTTGTAGATGGACACAACATAATGCCTTTATTTTTTATGTGGTTCTGAGAATCGAACCCTGGTCCTGCCCATGCTAAGCGAGTGCTGAGCCACAACCCCAGCCTGTTTACACTCTTTTCTAAGGTTATACAGATAATAAATATCATGGCTAGAGTGAGAACATATCACCCTCTGGTCAGGAAGATTCAAACTACTGTTCTTCTGTTTCTCTTTATTATTTGTTACCTGTGTGAAGTTAGGCAAAGTGTTATATCATTATATTTTAAATAATAATTAGACTCCCTGTCCTGGTAATTTTGATAAATTTTCATGAGGCACAACTAATAATACTTGGAAAAATTGTAAAACTAAAATTTGTCTTAGCAATCTCTGTCACCTTACAATGTGGGAGCTCATTTTAAGTCTTAATGAGAAATTCACAATTTATTAGATCTGCTGAGTATATGTGAGTCTTGTTTTGCTTCCTTTTCGTATTTATATTTGAGGATGCTTAGTTTTTAAAACTGCATGACAATCTGTAAAGCTTCCTATAAACCAGTAAAATTATCTTTTGTCATTGTAAATGTCAAAAAATGAAATTCTTCAGCTCTGTTTAGACATTTCACATCTCCACAAAAGTCACAGTATAATAGAGCTATATTTTAAAATTAGTGAGGATATTGGGCCATTATTGATATTTCATTTTCATTTTGTAGTGGTTTGTTACATGTTAACAGATGAATTTCTATTTCCTGAAACAGTAAATATATATTTGTTTTCATTAAAAGGAGAAATGTTTTTAGTAATTACATTTTGTCTTGTTTATATATATTGAAGGTCAAGTGGATATCATTGGAAATCTGGAAAAGTGAGCAAATTGGGTTATCAATCACCTGTGATGTCACAAAATAAGGGAAATGCCATTAAGGTAAGACGATACTATTGGATTCTCAGGCAATTTGCTAGGCAAGAAGAAATAACTTATTATTTTAGTTTAAGAATATGAGGGTTTATATTCTATTTTATTCTAAGAGTTTGCATTCTATTCTTTACTCAGGCATCCAGTATTGTTGTTTTATCAATTTTTCTAATATTAGATTTTGATTCATGGAAAGTATGCAACTTTCAGCATTTAGATATATTTTGTTTTTAATGTAGACATTGATTTTCAAAAATTTACCTTAAAGTGTATATTTCCATTCCAAATTTCTCTAAATTCCAAACAAAATTTTTTCATTCTGTTCAGGTTCAGCTTAAAGTATGTGGAATACAGTCATGTAGTTCTATATCAAGGTGAAAGTTAATGTTATTTGATATAACGAATGATAAACTTTATTCTTGCCATTAGATCATTTCATATTAGTTTACTGATTTATACTTCAATAATAATTATTCTTATATAATTAATGCCATGCATGAAGATACCCAAGAAAAAAATGTGTTTCAGTGTCATAGCTACAGATTTGCTTTATCTTTACTGTGTGTTGTAAAATATATCATTGCACTATGTTGCAGATTAAAACCAGGCAAGTGTGCTTATATAAAAAAATAGCTTTGTTTGTGGATTCTTTAGTACAAGGCTCATGACTTTGTAAGTTTTAACTTGTACAACTTTTTATTTTTTATGTACCAATCATTAAACTTTCATTGGGTCACTTGGCATCTACAAACATCTTACTCAGTACCTCTAAACATTTCGACTTCAAAAAAGCGTTTGATTCTATAATGTCACTATCTTAGTGAGATATGCTTCTTTATTTTCGGGGGGACAGTCAAAGGTGTATAATATACTTGTAATGTTTCATTATCTTTCTGACGTGTTTTTATTTCAGATGATATTGTAAATATAATATTTAAAAATGCTGACTATGATAACTGAATGTGATTATTGGCTTAGTTATTTATTAGCATTTATGAAATGCTTTTTGGTCTTATAGTTCATCTTTGTTCTCAAGGATGTCCTTATGTAATATAAAAGATGAAGTGTGTTAAAAATATTTATAGTAAAAATCAATATGTAACTTTTGTATAATCATTTAGTATATGGACACTGTATGCATGAAAAATAATAGCTTAGTGCTAGAAATATTTGAAGGTTTACTATATTTGTAAGGAAAATTATGAATAATTTATAATTTCTGTTCTCAAAAACATTATAATTAAGGAGAGTGAGAGCATAGAGGGCTGGGGTTTTGCGGAAGGAGAGCTTAAAACAAGACTGGGCAGGAGATAGGAAGCCTTGAGAATTGTTGAGAATTGTTGGTGTTTTACTTGGCGGATGGAATTTCCTATTTTCTGACAGTTTTTGAATAGGAGGATAACAAGATTAAGGCAATGATTTATGATGGTTGATCATGTTCAAGTATCCAGTGTGTTTGGAGTTAATAGTGCATACAGCAACTAGTCTCTTAAGTGTTTTAGCATGTAGCACATGAGATAAGAATATATCTTACACATGTACTTCTATTGATTCACATACATAAACACTTACCAACATCATATTAATTATAAAACAAAATATGGAAATTAGTCAAGGGTAAGATAAATATAAATAGATGTGTCTTTTATACTTCCTATTTTTTCTGAGATCTCTTGGTCATGCAAGATCACTTGGCTCTGCTACTAATCATCCTCAAACTATTCCATGAAATAGAAAAGGAGGGAACCCTTTCAAACTTATTCTATGAAGCTAATATTACTCTGATAACAAACCAGACAAAGACACATCAAGAAAACTTCATATTAATAACCCTGGTGAATATAGATGCAAAAAATTCTCAATAAAATACTGACAAATTGCATACAAAACACATTAAAAAGATACTGCACCATAATCAAGTGGAGTTCATCCCAGGGATGCAAGGTGGATTCAACATATGGAAATTGATAAATGTAATTCATCACATAAATAGACTTGAAGACAATAATCACATGATTATCTCAATAGAAGCAGAAAATTACTTTACAAAATACAGCACCCATTCATGTTCAAAACACTAGAAAAACTAGGGATAGTGGGAATATACCTCAATATTGTAAAAGCTATATACGTTAAACTCAAGGCCAACATTCTAAATGGAGAAAACTGAAAGAATTTCCTTTAAAAACGGGAACAAGTAACAAACCTTCTGTTACTGTTTCTATTCAACATAGTCCTTGAAATTCTATCCAGAGCAATTAGACAGAAGAAATTAAAGGGATACAAGTAGGAAAGGAGGAGCTCAAACTATCTCTGTTTGCCAAGGATATGCTTATATATATATATATGACTCAAAAAAAAAAACCCAAAATACTCCACCAAAAAACTTCTAGAACTTATAAATGAATTCAGCAAAGTATCAGGATATGAAAATTACACCTGTAAATCAATTGTGTTCAGAAATTAGGGATATTATTTTATTCACAATACACTAAAACAAACAACAAACAAAAAACACTTGGGAACCAATCGAACAAAAGAGGTGTTAATTTTCTACACTGAAAACTACAGAACACTAAAGAAAGTAACTGAATAAAACTTTAAAAGATGAGAAAGTCTCCCATGTTTTTAATAGATAGAATTAATATTGTCAAAATGGCCGTATTACCAAAAGTGCTATTCAGATTTAATGCAATTCCTACTAAAATTCCTATTACATATTCCTATTACAGAGCGGTAGAAAAAGCAGTCATGAAATTCATTTGGAAAAATAAGAGGCCCAGAATAGCCAAAGAAATCCTTAATGAGAAAAAAATGAATCAGGGGAATCACCTACCAGACCTTTAATTTTACTACAGAGCTATAGTAACAAAAACAGGATGGTATTGGCACCAAAATAGACATGAAGACCAATGGAATAACATAGAAGACACAGAGACAAACCCACATAAATACTGTTATCTTATATAGACAAAGGCATCACAAACATACGTTGGAGAAAAAAAGATAGGCTCTTCGACAAATGTTGCTGGGAAAACTGGAAATCCACATGTAGTAGAATGAAATTTAACCCCTCTCACCCTGCAAAAAACTCAACTCAAAGTAGATTAAGGACCTAAGTATTAGACCAGAATCCCTGTTAGAGGAAAATGTAGGCCTAACTCTCCAACATGTTGGCTTAGGAGCCGACTTCCTTAGTAAGACTCCTAACATGTAAGAGTATAATGAAAAATCAATAAATGGGATGGTATCAAACTAAAAAGATTCTTCACAGCAAAGGAAACAATCAAACACGTAAAGAGAGAGCCTACAGAATGGGGGAAAATCTCTGTCATTCACACCTTCAATAAGGTATTAATTTCCAGGACAGAAAGAACTAAAAAAGCTTAACACTAAAAAAACCAAGTAAGCCAATCAATAAATGGGCAAAGGAACCAGACACTTCTAAAAAGAAGAAATATCAATGGTCAACAGATATATGAAAAAAAAAACTCTAGTAATTAGAGAAATTCAAATTAAAATCACACTGAAATTTTACTTTGCTTTAATCAGAATTGTAATTAATCAAGAATATAAGTAACAATAAATGTTGGTGAGTATGTGGGGAAAATATACACTTATACATTGCTGGTAGAGCTACAAATTGGTGCATTTACTCTGTAATACAATATGCAGATTCCTCAAAAACTAGGAACAAAACCATCATTTGACCCAGTTATACCATTCACTGGCATATGTCTAAAGGAGTTAAAGTCAGCAAATTACAGTGATGCAGCCACATCAATGTTTGTGGCAGTGCAATTTGCAATAGTTAAGCTATGGAGCCAACCTAGAAGCCCATCAACAGATGAATGGATAAAAAAAAATGTGCTATATCTACACAATGGAATATTACTCAGCCATAAAGAAGAATGACTTTATGACATTTGCAGGTCAATGGATGGATCTGGAAACTATCATGCTAAGGTAAATAAGCCAATTTCAAAAAAATTAAAGGTTGAATGTTTTCTCTGACATGTGGATGCTAAACCCCCAACAAGAGGGAGGAGAAGAACAGAAGTTCATTGGATTAGACCAAGAAGAATAAAGGGAAGGGAGGCAGGAATGGGAAAGACAGTGGAATAAATTTGTTTCAACTTTACTGTGTATATATATATGAATATACCACAATGAATCTCAACATCATGTACATATACAAAAATGTGATCCTAATTAGAATAAGATATATTCCATACTTCTATAAATATATTCAAATAGATTCTACTCTTATATATAATTAAAAAGAACAAATAAAAATTAACAAAATTAAAAAATTTAAATGTGAGGTATCCCCCAAAAGCTCATGTATAAAACAATGCAAGAAGGTTTACAGATGAAATTATTGGGTTATGAGATTATTAACATAATCAGTGAATTCATCCCCTGACAGGGATTAATTGAGTGGTAACTATATGCAGGTAGTTTGTGGCTGGAAAAACTGGGTCCCTGGGAGTGGGGCTATGGGGTTTATGTTTTGTCCTGGGAAGGAGAGTGCTCCCTTCCCCGCCACCACTTGTTCTTCCTAGTGTAATGACTTGCACTGCTTTCCTCCACCACGTTCTTCCACCGTGATGTTCTGCCTCACCTTAAGCTGTAAGGAATGGAGCCAGCTGTCTATGGACTGTGACCTCTGAAACTATGAGCCTCCAAATAAACTTTCCTCCTAAAATTGTTGCTGTCAGGTCTTTTAATCACAGCAGTGAAAAAGCTGACTAAACACTATCTGGAAGTTATTCAAGATGAAATCAGATGAAAGGTGTATGAATTAGAATGGAAGCAGAAGAACTATAAAGGGAAATATTGAACCAAAAATCAGTAAGAAGTCAAACATAATTAATGTCACAATCAGGATTTAGTAGGAGATAGCATAAAGAGGGGAAGAAAAAGTCTGGACTAAAATTTTAGAAGCTTGTTTGAATTTTCATGTGATAGTTGAAGCTGGGGGAGTGATTGTGTCCCAAAGAATTTGTATAAACCAAAGAGGTGGGATGAATAAAGATCAAAGAAAACAGGTATGCAGCGTATGGTGGCAAAAACCTTAATGTTGTACTAAATATGTTTATAAGTCAATAGTTAAGCTGCTTTTCCTTTTTAGAGTCTCATTAAGTACTTATATAATAGCAGTTTATTATTCTCATGCCACAGAGGAAGTAACTTAACTTCAAAGAAGTGAAATAACTTGCTCAATGTCAAGCGTCAGTGTTAAGATTTGCATTGCCAGTTCTTAGGCTTGTTCTAAAACAATTTACCAGCATCCTGGTGAAGAAGGCCAGAGAAGAAAAAGAAAGGCAGGAGCAGAATCTTAGTAATACAATTTCACAGAAGACTAAAGTGAATGAGCGCATTTTTAGAAAATATGTAGATATCAATATTGTCTACTTAGTATTGAAAACCAAAAAAACACTGCAGAGTACTGACTTTGACCAATGTTTCTCAAGGGGGCAATTTTGCCTTCCTGGAGAGACTTGGCAATGACTGAAGACATTTTCAGATGTTACCATGTTACATTTTTTGCTAATGTAGGTAGTTAGTACAAGCCAGGGGTGTTTCAGAACATCCTACAATGAACTGATGAACTACCCAGTCCCCAGAACAAAAAAAAATCATTTGTCCTAAAATGTCAGTGGTGCTGGGGTTGAGAAATCTTGTATTAAACTCTATAGATTAAAATTCTGATTCGGATCATTGGCTCTGTGATCTCAGGCAGGTCATTTAATCTTATATACCTCTGTTACCACATTCATAAACATGCCACATTTGTAACTACTTCACAGAGCTTAGAGCAGTTTGTGAGGTGATGTATGTGAAATCATTTTGTAATATTACTTAGAAATCAAACTAAATGTCTATTTATGGAAAATGAAAATTTTCAAAATGTGAATTTAATGATTAAGTCATTACTGGATGTGAAAGTAGACTTCAAGTAGTTGAAAAAGTGTGGGAGGCAGTGAATAAAAACTTGTTATGCTGAACATGAGAGTAGAGAACAAATTTTAAGGGTTCAACAAGTTCAAGGAAATGCTTTAATATATTGCTTTTTAGGATTGGGGAAATGATGTGGTCCAGTTTAGAGGCTGAGTTATGTGCCGCTGGAGGAAAGATTGAAGATGCAGATGAGAAGTGTCTGTTCCTGGGGGTATAGTCTTTGAAAAGGGGATTCATTTAAGAAGCCTTCACTAAGGAAAGAGAACACATTTTCTCTGAAGAAAGAAAGAAGAAAAAAAATAATGGAAATAGAAATAAAATTTAGAGTTTGGGTTTGGCAGGTGATAAGAAAGAATACTGTGGAGGATTACAATTGGAAGCTACCATTCTTGAATGTTGAAGGCAGTATTGTTTTCTCAGATGAAGGAAAGGAAATAGGATAACTTTGAGGTTTTAGGATTGGAGAAAGTTTGGAGCAGCCACTGTGGGAATTGTGATGAGAGTTTAGCAGCAAATGAATAAATGGTTGCTGACAAACCATAAGGGTCCACTGGAGTTATTCAGCATGGATTTGTAGGAAACCCCATGATAGTGTTTCAACAATGGTTGGTAGACACAGGAAGTCTAGCAGAGGTGATGGGGAGTTAAAGTGAGCACTGAGAAACTCTTGAGTTTGAGATTTTGAAGGCGTGGCCATTCAGAATGCTGCTTGGTGCAGGATTTGGTCACAATGGTGGGGCAGCTGAAAAGGCATTCAGCTGTTCACAGTAGTCAGCATGCTGGTGGGGGGTCTTCAGTACCAAGATGTCAAGTAAACATGGACACCAAAGTGCCCAACATTATCATCCAGAAATATGATGAATAGAAACACTGAGCAGGTTGCTGAAGTTTAGGTGGAAAGTAATGCTAGGTATTGGTAAAGTCAACAAGTGGACGATGGGACCTTCAGTAGAGGTGACTTTGCTGAATGATGATGGAACAATATTCTGGAAATAGCACTCCGGAGAAATTTTTCTCCTTGTCTGGTGAGCGAAATAAAGTGAAAAAGGAGCTAGTTCCTGTGGAAGTGCTTTGGAGAAACTGGTATTGAACAAAAGGTGGGTTTCAGTCAATGTGACACTTGGAGGGAAATATTTTTCAGGAAGGATTAAAGCACAAGATAGTTAAATGACTATTAATAGGGGTTCGGTGGATTAGTAAGTGTTTTAGTCAGCTTTCTTGCTGCTGTGATTCAAGGACCTGATATCACAATTGTAGGAGAGGAAAAGTTTATTAGAGGGCTCACAGTTTCACAGGTCTTAGTCCATAGAAGACCAGCTCCATTCCTTGGGGCTCTAGGTGAGGCAGAATATCTTGGCAGAAGAGTGTGGCATGGGGACACAGCTCACATGTTGATCAGAGAGCAGAGAGAAAATCCACTGAGCAGATAGAAATATATACCCAATGCCGTGCCCCAATTCCCACTTCTTCCAGCCACACCCTACCACTTAAATTACCACTCAGTTAATCCCTACTAGGGGATTAAATCACCAATTGGTTTAACACTCTCACAACCCAATCATTTCTCCTCTGAACCTTCTTGCATTGTCTCACACATGAGCTTTTGGGGGACACCTCACATCCAAACCATAACAGTAGGGGAGCCTGGATGGAAAAATTATCAGTAGACAGTGATAAACCTTCAGTAGCAAATTGGGATGGGAATAAGTGAAAAGAAGGTGAGGAACCGGGAGACGGGCAAGGAAGAAATTAAAGATGGAGACCAGGCAGAGATACACATAGGAGTTATTTGTCAGAGTAGATAAATAAAAGCACATCTCTCCATAGATAGAGAGAGGCAAAACAGGCTTGGGGTTCTGGACTTTTATTGGGCAGGCTCAGGGATTAGAGCCAGGAGGTCCTCATGTGGGTGGTGAATGGTAGGGTTGGTATGAGGGAGTGGGGGAGCCTTTCTCAGAAAGGCCCTTGGGTGGGAAAGCAAAATTTTTTTTTAAAATGGCAGCTGACACTTAAGATGGCTGTCCAGATGCTATGCAAGGACCTTACAGTGAGACTATCTGAAACTGTGGCTTGGAGTTTGGGTCTAGTTGGGGACATTTGTGACACTAGGAGAATGAGGTCAACAGCATGGCTTGACTCTATTGGCTCAAACAAAATGTCCAGTTGTGCTGCCCTGGCCCCCAAAAGCACTCCTTCAGCACCCAATAGTAGAGGCACAAGTGGGTTAACAAGACATAGGACTAGATCATTAAATTCTTGATGCTGAGTATGTACATATATGTATGCACATAATTGTAAGTGTATATATATGTGTGTGTATAAGTATGCATATGAGCATGTACATATGTATCCTTAGTCTAATCCTACTCCACCACCCAACTGGTTCCCAAACAAATAAAAAATCCAACTTGAAGGGATTGTATTTACCTAAAAATAGCAGCTAGCAGCTAGTTTACTGAAATATTTTTTTGCAACTTTAATAATTTAAAGTATATATGGCTACATTCATAGAACAGAAAAAATTAAGCATAGTAATAAAAAGAAATTATAAAATTTTCTTTTAATAATTGTTTCATTTTGCTTTGACACATCTCTTCATTCTGTCCAAGTTGCCTACGACCATGCTGTTCATATTGTAATTCAGATGTATCATTAAGGCAATCATATTGGATAATTTAGTTATGAAAATGAGATTAAATTATCTGTAACTTGTATAACATTACCAACTTAAAAATAAAAGTGTGATTCATATAAAAATTGATTATTTCAATCCTATTTTCTTTTCTGCTGTGTTTGGTACAGAAAACATCTGAGTAGCTACTTCAAAGAATATGAACAATAAATGCCTCTTTGGAGCAAAACCACGGAGAATAATTAGGCTTAAATTTTCAAAAATGACTGCAGTTTGTACAGCCATAGATATGGATGCAGCCATTGTTCTCATATTCTCATGTACAAATTGGGCAATTGAGCATGAAAATTACAAATTGAAAACTGGGCATGAATTGACAGTGTCTGTATAAATGCAAAACATCCTCCATGCTCATTTGTGTACTTTAAATGTTGGTTTTAGTAAGACCAAGGCAAATACACTCCATTGGCAACTCTGTGTTGTTTCATAAAATGTTAAAAACCAAGGATTTCAAGTGATTACTTACTTGAAATAATCAATAGTGAATCTTATTTACTCCATTTTTTGAGCTAAAATGTGATAGATAGATGATAGATAATATATTTTAAGGTTAAGATTATTTTACTAAAACATGTGGTTCCTTAATGTTGGGCAAATAAGATAGTAGTATCGGCTTCTGCAGTTTTGTAAGCAGAATAACTCAGTCAGAATTCAGTTTAGATTCAGACTATACAAATATTAGACTGTGTGTGCTTCAGAAAGCACAGAAATAGAAAAGACTTACTGCACCTTTATGATATTTGAATACTAGCACTTTCTTAAAATCATTTCGTGATGAAATATAATGGTTTTTGTTTAAAAATAAGTTCTGGTTTGTTTTCTAAAAACTGATTTTTATGTACAGTATTTGTAAAATTTCTTTGCTTGTTTGTGCATTTTTCTCTGAAATTAGTTAAAAGATCAATATATGCTTTGATGATGATCTTCTGTTGTTTTTGTTATTCTTTCACTATTAATTTTTGTACAAATGTACCAAAATGGTACAGCTTTCAAATATTTGTTAGTTATTTAAATTTTCTTTGAAAATTTAAAGAGAACATATACCTGACAAATAGTATTTATCTTATTATTACAGCTTTCTACAGGAAAAGTGAAATTAAAATTACTGAAGCAGCAGATTCAAGGTAAACAGTTTACCACTGTATTATTAGATGCTAAAGATACAGTTCCCATTTTCCTTCACATTTGAATTACATATAAAGTGCTAAAATTGTTCATTCAGTATAAAATTTCACATCCCCAAAATGATGACAGTTGATTTCAAAACAAATTTTATTCAGATTTTTTCATGGGGCTTTATTTTATGTCAAAAAATGTCAAGTTTGAATATGATTATAATAATAATACTTTTCAAAAGTGAGGACTTTCATAGCTCTGTTCCTTAAACTTTAATGAGGTGATCTTTTAACAGGAAAGATAATTTAGCAGTATAAAATTATAAATTGAAATATCACTCTAAGACATTACAAGAACATTTTAAAATTGCTTTATATTTTAATAACTTCTGTAAAAATAGTAAAAACCAAAATGCATTTATAATAATTCCAAAGGAAATAAGATATTTTCTAGAGGATAAACTAATTTAATTTTTAGTAGTTAACATAATTTGGTAGAATAAATTCTAAATTTATATACATATATGTATACATATTACATTGTTTATTAAATATGTTTATATAAATATAATGTTTATTATAAATGTACAATATTATGCATGTTTAGAAACTTGTTCATGTGGGCTTTGGTTTGACCCACAGGAATAGGGAAATGTCATAGGAATTCTGTTAAGGACACGTTTTTTTTAGCATTCTGTGATTCTGAGTGTTTCGTTCAATGAGTTTTAAGCAGAGTGGACATGGGTGGATATATAAAGCCCTGTGCTCACAGGTGTAGGCAGGGGCTCCTATGGACTCTATAGTCAACTAACATTAGATTTGACTACATGTCATTCTTATCAATAATATCTAAGTACTTTCTGAGAATTTAGAAATGTGCACAGTTACATTACTTTATTAATAATCAGAAAACTAAACAACATATTTTAAAGTGATTGGCCTGATATTTCTTTTTTCAAGAACCAGTGAAACAACCAGCTAAGTATATAATGGAAGATTCCTCTGGAAGTGAAAAACCCAAGATAAAAGGGAAGATCTGTGGACAGTGTGAGAACAAATCTGCTCTACTAGTATGTACATTATCATAAACAGTCAGAATAGAATTTTCTCGAGTCCTTCTACACCTCCCAACTTCATCTGCTGCAATAGCCATGTACCTTCTTCCCATTAGTGTGCATACTGGCAGATAAGGTCAACAGCTCTCCTTTTCCCTGAATTGTATACTCTCATTCTTATTTAAGGACACCTTTGTAAATCTTGCCTATCAACACATAATCATGCTATAGTAGTTCCCATCTAAAACCAAAACTGACATCAAACCTATAACAAAAATTCTTTTTGACTTCTAAATTTTTCTTTGTGTCCTATTAGAATAAAACTCTTCTAAAAAGTTATCCATTCTTTCCAGGCATGGTGGTGCATGCCTTTAATACCCGCAGTTTGAGAGATGGAGGCAGGAGGATTCGAAGTTCAAAGCCAGCCTCAGCAGCTTAGTGAGGTCCTAAGCAACTCAGCAAGACCCCGTCTTTAAGTAAAATAAAGAAAAGGGCTGGGATGCAGCTAAGAGTTTAGTGCCCCTGGGTTCAATCCATGGTGCCCACCCGCCCTGGCAAAAAAAAGTTTTCCATTCTTGCTCTCATATCTCCCCTTATATTCTTCATTATTTTTATGAGGCATAATTTATTTTTACCATGTAGACAGACCTTAAATATACAATGTATACCTGTTGACAAGCTTATTACAGAATATTTCCTTAACCCTTTGAAAGTGCCCACATTCCTTTTCTAATACATTCCTAGGCAACCACTATTCTGCTTTTTAATCCCATAGAGTTAGTTCCTGAATTTAGGTAAATAAAATGATATAATGTGTATATATATGTATATATATATATATATTTCTTGGTTTCTTTAGCTCCACATGGAGATAAATGCATGCTGTTAAACCAATTAGTAGTTTGTTCAATTTATATTACTAAGTAGTCTTGCATTGTATTTGTTCATCCATTGTCATCTTGAATAACCTTTGGGTTTTAGGGTTTTTTTTTTTCTTTTATGTTTAAGGCTGCTATGGATATTTGTGTGCTAGTCTTTTTATTTCTCTTTCAAATAACAATTTCTCTTAAAATTTGTGACATGAAATGAAAAAAGTACAGATAATAGTGCTTTTTGATAGTTCTATAGCTCTTCATTAATGCCAATTTCTTGAACATTTAAAATATATGATAATAAATCATAAAATTTCCCCTCTGCGATAAGTGTCAGGTTCGGTGGTGTTAAGTACATGCCTGTTGTGCTGTCGTCACCACCATCTATCCCCAGAGTTCACATCCATCTTGCAAAATTGAAATTCCATTTCTAGTCAATAATAGCTCACCACTTTCGTATCCCCCAAGCCCTAATAAATACCATTTTGCTTTCTGTCTGTATGAATTTGACTATTCTGGGTTCCTCATGTAACCGAATCAAATACTATCTGTCTTTTGTTAACTTAGCATAATGTCCTGAAGATTCAACCATTTTGCAGCATGGCTCAGAATTTCCTTTCTTTTTAAGGTTGAATTCCATTTCACTCTCTGTGTGTACCATATTTGATTTATTAAATTCACTGATGGAAACTTGGGATGCATCTAGCTTTTGGAAATAATGAGTAATGCCACTAAGAACATGGGTGTACAAATATCTCTTCAAAACAATGCTTTTATTTCTTTGGGATCTGTACCCAGAAGTATAATTGCTGGATTCCCATTGTCTCTGGAACTCTCTTCATTCAGTCTTGACTCTCTGCTAGTATCCACCAACTGTACCTATCAAGTGCTCCAGTGACTCCCACATTCTTAAATACAGTGTTCAATTCTCAGCTCTTACTTTACTAGGAATATTTGACACTGTATTATTCTCCACATCTGTGACTTTCTTCGCATGGCTTCCTGAGACTCCAGGCTTTCTTGGTTTCAGTTCATTTTCTAGGTGTTCATATTCTCCATCTTTTCTGGGGTTTTGTATTCTTCTTGACGTCTTAGTGTTGGCATGACATAGGATTCAGTTCTCAAACTTCTCCTTTATCTATTCATATTCTTTAGGTAATTTGTTCCAAACCCTTGGCTTTAAAGACAACTTCTACATTGATGAATCCCAAATTTATACATTTATTCCATACCTTGCTCCTGAATGTGTGACTCAAACTACTTTCTGAACATTTATGCTTGAATTTCTAATAGGCTCAAAATTGAACCTCTGACTTCTCTCCAACAAATATTTTTCTCTCAGTCTCCTCAAATCCATAAATATCAATTCATGTTATCTACTCTGCAGCCTTTTATAAGAGCAAAAGCTGAGTTTCAGTCTCTAGTTTTGCAAGTCTACTTAATTCATCTACATAGCATTTATCACCACTTCATACACATTTGTTTATTTTTTACCCACTGTGTGAATTTCATTATGGTAGGGTTTAGTTATGTTCACTGCTGGATATCAGCCACCTGGAATTACACTTGCAGTGTGATAGGAACTCAACAAATACTTGTGGAATGACCAGTTCTTTACAACTATCCCCTCATATAGACTTGCCCTTCATTTGGATGTATTTTCCTTTTGGTTAACATTGAGGATACTATAGGATCCTTTGCAATTTATAATATTATACAATATTAGAAGCACTCTCCCCCTTCACCAATTCAATGACTATAGCTGTATTATAATGTATTTTTACACTATGTTTTGGTTTCAGAGAACTTACACATAATCATTTCTGACTTAAAGTTTTACTCTTAGGTTTATTTAATGGCAGTTTTAACTGCGTTTAAAGTGTTAGAATGCTTTACATCTAATGAAAAATGCTAATAACAACCTTAAGCTGAAAGTCCTGGCTCTTGTTACAATGTTCTTACTATTACATTGTGTTTTCTCATTTGATATGATGTTAGGCAATAATTTAAGGAATTAGAGAACTATGTAGAAATGTGTAAAAATATAAACAAATGCTAGTATTTCTCAATTGGAAACATGAGAGCTAAAAGAGACTTACTTGTTGATGCTGGGGTCTGCTGTTGATTTTAAAAAAAGATTTATGTAGGAGCTGTGAGTCAGTATCTTATGAGAATATGATACACTGTTGAGCATTTCTTTTTTTCCTCCTCCTTCTCTTCTTCCTCCTTCTCCTTCCTTTCCCCCTCCTCCCCTATTCTTTCTTTACTGGGGATTGAACCCATGGGTGCTGTGCCCTGGAATTACATCCTTTTGTATCTTGAGAGGATTTTGCTAAGTTGCAGAGGCTGGTCTGGAACTTGTGATCCTCCTGCCTCAGCCTCCCAAGTCACTGGGATCATAGGCATGCACCACTGTGCATGGCCAGCACTTTTTTAAAAACTTAAATTTATTTTAAGATAGATTAAAATACATCAAAACATTTAAAATACAAAACAGAAAATCATAGATATTTATGGGATATGATGTGATATTTTGACACATGTAAATATTTACAGTGTTTAAATTAGGGTAGAAATATATATATCTTTACAAGCATTTATCATTTTTTAAACAAAAACATACCAAGTACTTTCTTTTAGCTTTTTGAAATATCCAGTACATTGTCATTAGCTGTAGTCCTGTTACTGTGCAATGTCACACCAAAATTTAGTCTACCTAACTATGTTTTAGTACTCATTGGTGAACTTCTCCACATGTCTACCTCTCCCCTATTCTTCCTAGTCTCTATGCTATTCTCAAACATTCTCTTCTTTGATAAGATCAAGTTTTTTAGGTTCCACATATGAACGTGATAGTGTGGTGCTTGTCCTTCTGTGCCTGGCTTATTTCACTTAGAATAATGATCCTTAGTTCCATCTATGATATTTCAAAGGACAGGATTTCTTTTTTTATGACTGACTAGTATTCTGTTATGTATATGTATGACATTTTTTAAATGCATTCTTCATTTGATGGACACATTGTTTCCACTTACCTATTGTTAATAGTGCTTCAGTAAATATGGGAGCGCAGATGTCTCTTACACACTAATTTAATTTCTTTAAATACATCTCCAGTAGTGGAATTGCTAAATCATACAATAGTTCTATTTTTAATTTTTTGAGGAGTCTCCATGCTGTTTTCCATAAAGGTGTATTAATTTGCACCCCCTCTATTAGTGTGAAAGGGTTCCCTTTTTTTCTACATGCTCACCAACATTTGTTCTGCTTAGTTTATTTGACAATAGCCATTCTAACTACAGTAAAATGATTTGCATTTTCCTTGAAGATTAACGATGTTGAAATTTTTTCATATATCTGTTGGTTATTTGCATGTCTTTTGAGAAATGTCTACTTGGGTGGAGTGGCCATTTTTAAATCAGATTATTTGGTTTCATTTTTTGTTTGTTTTTGCTATTAAATATTTTCATTTCCTTAAATATTCTGGATATTAACTCCTGGTCAGACGAATGGCTTTGCAAACATTTTCTCTCATTCTGTAGGTAGTCTCTGCACTCGATTATTTTCCTTTTGCTATAGAGAAGAGTTTTAGTTTGATATAATCACATTTGTCTACTTTTGCTTTCATTTTCTGAGCTTTGGGTATCTTGCCCAAGGGGGGGGGGGGAAGCTTTGGGAATCTTGCCTGTTTCCAGGGTCCTGAAGTATTTCTTTTATGTTTTCTTCATAGTTAGTTTATTAATTAGTTCATAGATCATTAGGTCATGGTTTTATAGTTTTATATCTTACATTGAAATTTTTAATTCATTTTGAATGTCTTCTTATACCTGGTCAGAGATTGGAGCATAGTTTTGTTCCTGCATATGGATATGTGGTATTCCCAACACTATTGAGAAGACTTTTTTTTTTCCAATGCATGTTCTAGTATCTTCATAAAGAGTCTTATGGCTATACATGTGTGGCTGTACTGCTAGGCTCTCTTTTCTGTTCCAGTGGTTTGTGTCTGGATTTATGCCAACAACATGCTGTTTTGATTACTACAGCTGTTTAGTATATTTTGAGTCAGGTAGTATAATGCCTCCTGCCTGGTTGATGTTTTTAAGAAGGCTGTAACTTTTGATTTCTTTTTGTGGTTCCATACAAATCTTAACGTTCCCCAAAACCTTATTTTTGCTAATTCGGTGAAGAAGGTCATTGGTATTTTGAAAAAGGGATTGCATTGACTCTGTAATTTGCCTTGGGTAGTATGGATATTTAAAAATCATTGGTTCTTATAATCTATTAGCATAGGATGTCTTTCCAATTTTTGTGTCCTTTTCAATATTTTTCATTGATAAATTATATTTTTTATTGTAGAGATCATTCATGTTTTTAGTTAAATTTATTCCTAGGTATTGTTTTGTATCTTTTGTAAATGGAATTGTTCTCCGGGTTTCTATTTTGATTTATTTATTAGCCCATATTTTTTTTTAAATTTGTGGGAGCCTTTGGGGTATTCTCTATATGAGATCATATCATTTGCAAACAGTGACACCTCAGCTTTCTCTTTTCCAGTTTGATTGCTCTTCATTTCTCTCTGTCCTGATTGCACTTCCAGGAGTATGTTGAATAAAAGTGGTGCAATTGGATATCTTTGTCTTGTTTCAGATTTTAAAGAGAAAGCTTTCAACTTCCCCCCATTTGATATGATGTTAGCTGTTGGCTTATTATATGTGGCTTTTATTATATTCAGGTACATTCCTTCTATATATAATTTGCTCAGAATTTTTTGTCACAGAGGGATGTTGAATTTTATCAAGTATATCTTCTGCCTCTATTGAGAAGATTGTCATCCTTCTGATGTGTGTTGTATTATGTTTTTTATTTACGTATGTTGAACCATATTTGCATCACTAAGATAAATTCCATTTGACCATGGAGAGCAAACTTTTAAAATGTGTTGTTATAATTGGCTTGCTAGTATTTTGTTGACGTTGTTTACATCTGTATTCATCAAGGACTGGCCTATAGTTTCCTTTTTTTGTTGTGTCCTTGTCTAGTTTTGGTATCAGGGTAATGCTGCGCCCATAGAATGAGTTTGGAAGAATTTCCTTCTCTTCATTTTTTGTTTTTTCATTTAAAAAGAATTGGTTCTTTAAATGTTTGGTAAAACTCAGGAGTTCAGCTGCTTGGTCCTAGGCTTTTCTTTACTACTGATTGAATATCATTCCTTTTTATGGGTCTCTTTATGTTTTATATGCCTTCATGATTCAATCTTGGTAAGGTGTATGCACCCATGAATTTGTCTATTTCTTCTTTTTATCCAATCTTTTCATGTATGGTTTTTGACAATAACCTCCAATGATCCTTTGTGTGGCTCTGTTATTATTTGTAACATCTCCCTTTTCATCTCTGGTTTCATTTATTTTAGTCTTTTCTCTATTTTTCTTAGTCTAGCTGAGAACGTCTTAAAGGCTATGAACTTGAATGCGATGGCATAAGTAGATAAGACTTGACATGAAAATAAAGGATCTATATTTTTTAGAGAGAAGAAAAAAGTAATAAGAAGGAAATCTCACACAGGATACATGGCGTGGGGCCTGGACTAGAGAGTAGATGGGAGTGACAGTGTGTGCCCTGATTCAAGAGTGGATTGGCCTGAAAACTGCTTTATACAGTAGACAGGATCTAGGACCTAAACATTCTTGAAGGAGTTCATTAAGTTTTTTTTTTGTTTGTTTGTTTGTTTGTTTTTGAGTTCATTAAGATTTTAAGAAGAATTTCCTCTTATTTGAAATGAAAACAATATCCCATGCTAAAAACCCATCTACACATTCATATGAGGCTGGTATAATGAATAGTAGTGTTAAATTCTGAGGTTGTCTTGTGTTATTAGCTTCTATCATCAGATATAATTATGCATATAATTATGACTGAATACACACACATATGCCTACATACATACACACAGGCAAAATCGAGTATGAGAGATAGGAGTTAAATAAGGTCTTGCATTTTGGAAGTTCAAATCTCAATCCTGTCATTAGCTATGGGCTCTTTAGCAAATGACTTCATCTCTCTAGCTCCGTATTCTCGTTTGTAAAAGCCCCCAGATAGGGATAACAGCACTTTACATAGTTACTGATGATTATGAGTTAGCATGTTCAGCGTTTAGTGTTGTGTCTGAAACACAGGGAAGAGACAATGAATTGTGTGTTTTTATTATTGGCCCATTTTCTTATGATTTGATTTATTCACAAATACTGACAATGAAAAAAAAATCCAAAACTTCCAAATTTCTTGTTGTACAAGAAATTCCAATGGTTTTAGGCTATTTCTATACACCAAGAGTAAAGTGGACAGTTTTACAATTATATATTTGTTTGGCAAATGTGAGTCACTTAATTAAACTCAAATGGATTCTGAAGGCTTTGCCCAACAGATCTGTTATTCATCGAATCAACAAGAGATTTGTTAAAATCACACTTGGGTATTCCATCACGGAAGAAGCATCTGTGGTGGAATGGAGTTCTTATCTATATTTTTAGTATGTTACTGCCAGTTACACAAACTGCCTGAAAAGATTTTCCAGTTGGCGGTCATTTTAATCCAATTTAAATCCAAATATGCTTGTATAACAAAATATATAAGCTTGCTCTGCAATTCTAGATTTGATTTCTAGTCTACAAATATCTGTTTGGTTACTTTCATTAAAAGTCTGTTAACAAATACTTAGTTTAGAATCAATTATGTGCTGAAACTGATTTTTAATTCCTATATTATTATGTTGTAGAAACTTACAACTACTTGTAATACATGTATTAAAATATTAACAGGTATATTAAATAAAAATTATGCAGGATACATTTAGAAACATCATAATACTACCATATATTTATAAGAAATTATAATTTTTAACTTTATTTTGTATTTAAAAAGATAGAATTATGATAATGTTTTTTTAAAAATATTTATTTTTTAGTTGTATTTGGACACAATACCTTTATTTCACTTATTATTTTTATGTGGTGTTGAGGATCAAACCCAGGGTGTTGCACATGCGAGGCAAGCGCTCTACCGCTGAGCCACAACCCCAGCCCATAATCATGTTTTTTATCCTCATTTTCCTAAGAGACTGTAGTTCTTGAAGAAAGAGTAGAAAGGTAGGACTGGTCCCCGTGCTAGAGACAGTGTTTATGTTTCTCCTTCATTAAGTAAAAACTCCAGTTCTGATGCACTAATAAAAAACAATGAAAATGCATAATAATAATCCATTCTGTACAGCTAATCACATTAGAAAAAATGCATTAAGGACTTTGATAAATACCAGATCATACAGTCATTTGAAATACAGATTTATTTGATTGCAGATTTTATCAAGTTTTTTCAGTACGATAGTACTGCAATTAATGGTCAGTGATTGGCTAAATTATTATTAATGAGTATCATATTTAAGAACTTGAGCTTTAAGCTGGATATTGAGGGTGAAATTCTGGCTCTACCTATGTTAGTTTACATGACTGAGGGAAAGTTCTAATCACTGTTCCTCTGTCACCTTTTCTTCATAATGGAGATTCATTAGGGTTGTTGTGAGAATTGTTCTTGAACATCTGAAGCTCCTAGAACAGTAAGTGCCCATTAAAAGTTTTGGATAATTATTGTTATTTAACTGTAGCTTCCCCTTTCAACCCTTGAAAGTTTCATTTTAGTTATATAGAATTATTTATACCTTTAACCTTTTGTTTGGAGAGGGGTTGTCCTAATAATTTTATATTAAATAAACCTGGCTATATTATTACATATAAGCATGTCATCATATGGGGACTTAGAAATCTCCTGTTGGGATTATCATAGGGTTTAGCCTACTTTTCTTTGTCATATGCATCTCTTAGTGCTTTGTTACTCAATGTGTGGGCTCCTAGCAGCAGCAGGAGCATCTGGAACTTGCTAGAACACAGAATCTCAGGTCTTGCTCTAAACCTAGGGAACCAGAGCCTGTACTGTCACAAAATCCCATGTGTTTTTTGTGCACATTACAGTTGGAGATGTATAATTGCCCCCTTCAGTCTGCCAGGGAAATATACTGACTTGCTAGCCTTATCCAGATGCTTTAATACTTACTGTTCCTTGAGAGAGAAGTAGGATGGAGGACACTGGACATTCTGAGGGCTCAAAGAAGGACTAGCTCCTTCACATAGACTTCCTGACCCCCTCCCCCAAGTTTTCATGCTATCTTTTGTGCTATTAGTGCTTCTTCCCTACCTGGGCCTACTGACGAAAATGAGGGACCTTAGCCATGTGCACTTCTGTTTATCATATTGTCAGTTGTGTCCAAGCAACACTACAACTGCACCATAGTAATTGCATTTATGGAAAAAAAATCCGTTTGCTTTTCTCATTATTTTCAGTCTTGTTTGGGGCCACCATAGCAATAGGTATATTACATCATTGGATGTATGTATACATACTACACATTACATTTTAAATATCAAAAAAATTTTAACATTATGGTGCTGTTTCATTAATGTTATTTTCCCCTTATTATTCTTTGCTTTGGGGAATCTTCTAAGAACATTTTCAAATATTTATTTTGAGAATCACTACTACCTTTCATGGAAAATATGGGGATTTTTGAGGAGAAGAGCATACGAATTGTTTGAAACTAATTATGCCATGCATATCCATACATGGAAGAAAAAGTCAAAAAATGAAAAAGGTTTGATGTGGAGATTTTTTTTAATCATATCAAGAAGTTTTATCTTAGACTACTAGCTCTTTTGTGATTTATTCAGAAAAAAGCCTACACACATACATCTTAACATATAAACTTAACACTTAAATTACAACTGTTAAAATTTATTTTGACATGAAAATTATTAGCATTTACAGCTAGTTTTCTTCAAATGGTTAAATATTAAGATTTTTTTTTTTTGGTGGGGGAGCAGGTTTCTCAATTCAGATGACATGTAAGTACGTAATTTGAGGAATAGTGTGAAAACAGTGATTTCTTTATTTAAGCATTTTCTCAAATCCTACTACAATAAGATTGTATGGTTTTTAATACATGTATATATTTTAAGGTATGCCTTGAATGTGGTGAAGATTATTGTTCAGGATGCTTTGCTAAAATCCACCAGAAGGGGGCACTGAAGCTCCACAGAACAACACTTTTGCAGGTATGACTTTTTATAATGCTTTACTTGCAATGTATTTATAAAATGTTTCAATGTAAAGACATTTAAAACATGTTTAAATTAGAACTCAGAATGATTTACCTTAATTTCTAAAATTGTATTATGTACAGAGAGTCTTGACATATATCTTAAAATTATTTTACTGAACACTAATCTAGATTCTATTTTGCTATTTAAACTGTGTTTTAATATAGTCCCTGAAACACTTAACTTGATTGGAATCTTTAGATTATGCATTCAGTCCATGAACTTGACATTTTAAATTAGGCAATATTTTTACCTATTGTGGTTTTAAATGAACATATGGCTTATTTTAAGTACTAATTGTAGCTAGTGTATGAGTAGAAATCTCTTATGTTTTCTTTTCATATTCATTTTAAAAAAATTTTATTTGTTCTCACTCATAATTATTTAGATAAGCTCAGCTCTACATTTCCTTCCACATATTGGAAATTTTTATTTATATAAATATTTATATAAAATAATTTTTATTAGTACATTAGTATATTTATTAATATGATATTCATGTTTATTTATATGAATATATGAAAACTAAATGAATGTATATGTGTATAATCATTGTCCCTTATTTTTAATCTTTACTGTTTAAAATGCCTCAACAGAAGCCCTGTAAAATGGCTTTAAAATTCAGATTACTTAAACAATAAATATGGTCAGATACATACATGACATCATACTAGTTACATATAATTATGCGTGAATTCGTTATTGATTTAATTCAATTTACAGTAATTTATTTAATGCATATTAATAAATGCCCTCTAGAAAATAAGATATGTGCTAGGCAGGTACATTAGATGGTTAATATTGATAGCATTTTGTTCCAAAGGACCTGGACATAAAAATGAGAACCAAGGACCTCATGTAATGGGTTAAGAATTTTAACATCTTGTAGACAAAGGGAAGGAGGTGATCAGATCTATATTTTAAAACATTACTGTTAAGGTTTCAATTTTTACATGTTACATCAATATAAATATTGGTAACTCTCAAAAATGCTGTGACCCCAGTTACGATTATCACAAATTATCAAGTAGACCTAACTTACATTTATCAAAGTCAGTTATTTTTGAATTACCAATGTTTAGAGTTTTCAAACAAAAGTAATCGTGGGAGAACAAAAACTAACCTGGTCCTTCTCTCCTTTGGTATATTATATCATATTATTCTCTATAAAAGTGAGTCATTAAGATTCAAGGTGGAGGATTAGAGGCAATAAGTCTTCACAAGTTAAAATCAAAGCAACAGAAGTATAGCTGCATGATAGGGTGGATGTCCATGGGAGAGTGCTGGAATGTAATAGTCAAGAGACAGAGACTTAGAGACAACCAGAGTTTTTGGATAGTGGAAGTGTGGGAGAAACCGAGCATCCAGCTGGAGGGAAGGCACCCGTCATCTGTGGGGGTAGGGTGTGTAAGTGAGGTTCTCCCTCTAGCACAGAATTTGCCATCCTACAGAAGAATAAACAGAGTTTGCATGGTGAGCTGGCTCTGGAGAGAGTTTCAGTACTTCCTGATATATTCTCACAGTGCTATAACTGGCAGTCATCTGGAGAAAGGTCTTATTGTGTGAGTTATAGCCCTGAGGTTCAAGAGTCCCTGCATTTTCCTATCTCCGCCACCTGCCCCCTCCTCTCCCTGGCAATATGTGGCTCAGCAGGTGGCCACTCTAAGAGTCAGTTTGCCCTGGAGGAGGGACTGTAACTTAGACCAACTGAGAATCCTATGTGATGAAAAATGAGGGGGAATGGAAGGCACTTTCTTTTAAAATCAGCAGTTTGGGCGTCCTGCTGTCAAGAGCCTGGGGGTGTGAACAGTCTTGTGTGATTTTCTGAGGGAACCAAGTCTGGTAGCACCAGTCATGCAAAGTGAATCTTGCAGGTCCCACCTTTCCTTCTCCCAGTGCAGTTCTTTTGCCATTCCCTTGGCTGGTGGGGTTGGTGAGAGATTTGCTGCTGAGCCAGTGCTGGCCCCACTTTCAGAGAAAGCAGCCCACAAAGTTCTGGAGAGAATCCTAGGGGGATTCCTCATTCCAAGACAGTTGACAAAAGCTGCAGCACTGATGTTAACCTTGCCCTTGAAGACTGCAGCTCTAAAACCCTCAGAGTTTTTGCCAGGTGAGTTCAGCCTTCCGCTGGACCACTGACATACTGTGATATTGGCATTTTTCCCACCCCAGGAGTGTGCAGCTCAAAAAGTTCCAGAAGGAATCTTTATTGGGGGAGTTTCACTCTCTAAGTTAGCTCATTCCAGGAAGCAGAGCAGCTGAGAGGAATTGCAACTGGTTCAGCTACAAATCACTTCTGCTAGTCAACAGGCAAGAAAGAAAAGGGGATGAATAACTCCTAAATTTTGCTCTGTCTATGGAATTCACAGCCCAAGAAGACTCAGAGAGAAGCTTTGATCTGCATAGGTGGCAAGGTTCCTTTCAAGTACCTGGATGGAGAGGAAGTTTTTGTTTTCTATTAATATTTTTATTCTTGTTGTTGAAGCTGTTTTTGTTTGTTTGTTTGCTTGTTGTGTCTCTTTTTCTATCTCTCTAGCTTTTTTTAAAAAAATTTTACTCCTTCATTATTGTTCTTCCCCTTTTATTCTTTGTTCCTATTTCAGTTTCACATCTGCTTTCCATTTCTCTCTTTTTTTTTTCTTGGAAATTTTTAATTATTATTTTTTTCTTTCTTCCCTTTAACAAATTGTTACTGTTATCATTTTAAATTTATTTTATTCTACATCACATTTTCTCCTGTCTTCTGTTGTTTTTCTGTTGCTTTTTATTTATTTGTTTTTTCTTTGTGGTGCTAGGAATTGAGTCCGGGACTTTGGACCCATTGGGTGGGTCCTCAGCCACTGAACTACAATCCTGGCTCAACTGAGAGGAAGTGCACTTTGTTGCAGGCACAACCTAGTCCTGCTCAAAACTTGGTGATACTTCAACTTAAAGAAAAGGTGTGTGTGGGTGTGGGGGGGGGACGTTCCCAGCCAATGACCTATCCCCAACCAGGCATAACAAGTGGAATCTTATGGCTTGCTCCTGGACACTCACCCCCATAGCAATAACAGAAATGTAACACAAAAACTGTCTGGACACTGAACTTATGAAGATCATCAGCACTCGTAACTGTTTCACCCTATTAGATTGCACATTTTTTAAAAGACTAGAGGTAAGTGCCACAGAGGGGAGCTGTGACCCTGGACTCTGCATCTCCCCATGAAACACCAGGGTACTAGTATCTGAACAGAGAATAAAAGATTCAGGACCTTCATAATGACTGGAAAATCCAGTAACAGAACTGTTTTCAAGTAACTCAATCAGTATCAACTGTATCTGAGAAACCCCTATCACCTGCTAGGTGCTTCCACTCCCATCGACCAGAGTATCAAAAACAGATTCACCCCACTTATTCCACTGCCTATACCACACCTGCCTGAATTACCAGAAGGACTCTCTCTTGTGAGACTGACAGAAAAACGAGGCTCCTCATACCCTGACATTGTATACATTATGCCAAAAGATTCTAAATACAGCCACAGAAGCCATTGGGAGACTGTACTATGAAGTCCAATTAGAATAAAACTCAAAACTACACAGAAAACTGATACCCAAAGACACGTCATCAAGAGAACATTGCTTACCAAGAGGATCCTCGCATAAAGGTAGAAGAGATAGCCATACCAATAGATGCACAAATTTCAACATAGGATCTAAAAAATATGAAAAAACAGCATTAAAATGTAATGTCCTAAAGTTAGTAACACCATAGTAACAGATTTCAGAGGTACTAAAGTGGATGAAATGCTGGATAAAGAATTCAAATAATGATTTTGGAAAAGCTCAATGAAATCCAAGAGAAGAAAAACCAACAGCTGAATGAACTAAGAAAGATAGTATAGAATGTGAATGAGCATTTCAATAGAGATTTTGAAAAAAAAAATTTGAAGTCTTGGAAATGAAAAACTCAAGTCAGATTTAAAAAACAAACAAACTCAGTTGAAAGCCCCAACAATAGACTAAATCAATCAAAGGAATAGTGGAGCTTGAAAACTACTGGACACTAAATTTGCATTCAGATAGCAATAAAGAATAAAAACAAGAATGAAGAGAGCACTCAAGATATCTGAGCACCATTAAAGCCAAAGATCTGCTCTATTGGCATACTGGAGGGAGAAGAGCCACAGGCTGAGGCAGAGATAACCTGCAGTGAAATAATAGTAGAATACTTCCCAAATTTTAAGAAAGATCTGGCATCAAGAACTCTGAAAGAGATGACCAGAAAATAACCTGCCCATGACATATTATAGCTAAATTGCTAAAAGTATAGGACAAAGAAAAAATATTAAAAGGTACAAGAGGACCAAATCACATTTAAAAGCAAGCCCATTAGATTAAAAACAGATTTCTTAGAAGAAACCCTAAAGACAGGAAGGACACAGAAAATATATTTCATGTCTTAAAAGAAAATAGTTGCAAATCAAGAGTAATATAGCCAGCAATATTACCCTTCAGAAATAAGGACCTTCCAAGGTAAGCATAAATTAAGGGAATTCATGACCACTAACTCAGTATTTCCGAAGATACCATAGTGAACTCTACATGCTGATAAGGGGGAAAAAATAATGTACATGATCATGACAGCATGAGAATGAATAAATCTCATTAAAACAATGGACATGCAAATGGAATATAGGAGAGAAGCAAACATTACTAATATAGTCAATCATCAAATGTAAAAGATGAATAAGAGAGAAACATATATAGAATATTCAAAACAACCAGAAAAAATATCAGTCAAGTGCCCAGAAGTCCACACCTTTCCATAATACTCCTGAATGTAAATCATCTCAATTTACCAATTAAAAGAGGTTGATTGGATAAATCAACCACAATGGTTTAAAAAAACAAGAACCAACAATATGCTGTGTCTTAGTTACCTTTTTCATCATTGTGATTAAAATACCCAACAA